ACACAGCTAAATTAGAGGCATATTAGTTTTTGGAAATGAATCTGTGTCTGTAGAAAGGGGACATATGCATTTAATGAAACTGTACAAAGTGTAAAGAGAAACAAAGGTGACTAAGGTAAATGACCAAGGCGTACTTTATTATTTTTTATCATAAATTTTATCATGATTATTATAAATACTATATGGAAATGTAACAGTACACTAAAATACATGCACAACGCTTTTGAAAAATAAAAATGATTGCATTTTAGGCTTAGTGAGGGTTTTTAACAACAACACGTACTGCAGAATCCTTAAAGAACTTCAAAAAAATGGTTTATATATTACTAGCATGCTGTTTTGACTTTTCAATTTATTTATCTTTTATTATTTTCATTCTCAATTATCCTCCTTCTAGTTTTGTCTGAAAGTGTTTCTCTTTTTAGATACATGAATTTCCACTCGATAAAGGACGACCTTGACAAATTAATGTAGTAATGGGGCCACATTGACTTATTTAGGCAGATAAAGGGGACCTTAATTCATTAAGGCCGTTAAAGAGATTTTGAAGCATTTATCGAATTCTCATTTTCCCCAATACTTACTGCTATAAATTTAATTCTCAATCAAACAATCAATCTAACTTTGATTATGTTTTCTTGTACGTTATTCTTGTCCAGACTGCAGAAACCTGAATTATTAACGATTTCTCTAGGGTAACCGGACAAAGAACTGCTTGACGGCACACAAGAGTTGTTAAATAACAATATCAAATGTCTGAAAGCCAAGGTTTAATAACAAGGTAAGTGACAATTGACAGACTTGGTCTATTACAATACGAGTCTGGTAATGAAATTAGCAATAGGCCTGCATCTGCTTCCTCACATAAGTTGCGTTTTTATATGTAAATTACATTGTACATCTGCGCATGATTTCCTTATTCCTTCCTGTCGAGTAAGCGAGAAAATATAATGTTATATTTTAAAGATCTTGCCATTTTTTTAGATGTCATTGTTGTTTGTTTGTTGTTTTTATTTTGTGGTTGTTTTTGTGGGGGTTGTTTTGGGTGTTTTTGTATTATGTAAAACAATCACACTTATTAACAGTCTATTGAGTAGGTTTTTAAGATACAAAAAATATTGAGTAGGTTTTTAAGATACAAAATAACGTAAATCTTTTAAAGCCATGAACAGGTTATGTGAATGGTGTGCAGGTAAATAAGCTCATATTACAATCCCAAGTATTTCAAGCTTGCAATATTTTCCAAACTTCTCAAGAAATTGAAATGAAGCTATAAAGCTCATCTGAATTTTTTTTCATGAATGGTATATTAACATAAAAGAAATACGTTTGCACAGTGACTTAATTATAACCTGTTGTGTAAATTAGAAAAAAGTGCTGAGCTGATGAGCCCTTAAAAGATGATGCAATAATTTTGTTTAAAAATATGCATCGAAGATCTATGATTATTTAAACAAAAACAAAAACAACAACAACAAAATCTGAAAAGTGACTGAGAACAAGTTTTGCTCAAACAAAAAAAATACACTTGACTGCACATGAATATCATACAGTAATTATGTATACAATTTTACATTTTATAGCAATCTATCATAATACAATTGTTAAATAAATATGACATGATCACACGTCAACTTACACATCAAAAGAAATATATTTGTTTTTTATCAATTTTTAATTTTCTTTTTTGTTTTGATTAGATTTGACGTGGTATTCTCACAGGACACCGCTATGTTAACGATGACATATTATTCAGTTTTTTACAATAATTATTGTTTTTATTATTAACAATTTGCAAATTTATTTGGGTAAAGATTATTAAAAATTAAATATTTCATACACCCCGGTTAAATACCATATATTAGATAAAATTTAAATTGTAATGAATTTAAATAAAATGCGGAATGATTACAAATATCAACAGAATACATTAATATAATACCTAGTCAATACGTCATTGCACCCACTTTGAACTTACTTTTATAATATAAGAATAAAATATTCATAAAAACTCAGCAACGAGGCATCAATTTAAGCACTCAGTTTTACTAATAAAATGTATTCATTAAATAAATAATACAACATAGTTTTTTATTGTTATTCACTGGGTTAATGACACGGTACCTGTAGATAATATGACTGCACTTAAAGTCTTGAATCACCCTGACAAAATATATACTCTTTGCACAGTGGAATCAGATTATATTCTGGAGAGATAATTTTTCATAATTTTGCCTTCGTATTTGTCTCGAGGAGCCTAATCTGATACTTCTTCCTAAATCATCAGTTATGTCTTTAATTATTTTATAATTATGTCTTTTAGATGATAAAATTATTTATATAAGATGTCCATAGTGTAATCTGACGCTGTATTTGTTATCAAAATACACGCGATTAAATCGACTTGTTAAATGGGTCAATCATATTACGCAGCAAGGCGTTTCCAAATACACATTATGAAATGTTTTTCATTTGCAAAAAGGAGAATATGTCAATGTACAAATAAATAGATTTATTCGATTCATAGACACTTAATATCCACCGAAATGATATTACGCATATTATAATATGCAGAATTTGTCATTAATCAATAACTTGGAGTAAAACGTATTTTTGTTATCATGCTGAAGAACATATAGCCTTTTATCCGCTAGAAGCTGCGTGATACAAAAATACAATGTATATGTTTATCATATCAGTATGAACGGACCGTAATCCGTAAGTAACGGCGTAAATGCGTAGGAGTTTCATAATTTACATTAAACGTGCGAGTGATACTTAGACTTTGCTTATTAAACGTTTGAGTATATTTCTTTAGCTGTAATAGTTTTTGAAGAAGAGTTATTCATCAGAAGGCATACGTCAACATGGACAAGAGTAGATATAAATAAACAGCCACGGATGAAGCGGATGAAGAACAAAAAAAGTATTGAAACATTCATCAAAATAAGTATCGGTTGCTATAGAGACGATTTTAAAATTAATTTTCATTTACTATAAAGAAATTAACGAGATATTTCCTTTTTATATACCATGCTACAAATGAATGTCTTTTTCGTGATGTACGTATTATTAGAATTAATTTAACCTGATGCTGTTGGTATTCAGAAATCAAAGAGATGAACAGAAAAAGTAGGAATCTCACTGGCCATTTTAACTCTGCATTCTCCCAGAAGGCCAAAGATGGCCATTTTTCATATTTAATTCTACACATAAGCCTCGAGTATGTCGCATAAATCATGCGGCCAAGAACCTACGTGAATGTAAAAATACACTCTCGCGGTATGATGTAATCTAGGATTAATAATGGTCCGTTCTTTTTCGGTCACTGAGAAACCTGGTGCGTTATCAGTAAAAGATTCAAGTAACCCATGATGCAATTTAAGTTTTTAGCCATCAATCATCGATTTGATTTCATTGTGTCCGATAAAAATTATTTACTGTAAAAGTGGCTACGCCCAACTGAACAAGAATGTGAGGATTGTTTTCACATTGCCATTTCAATATTATTTTATATCATTTTGGATAGTTTACACTTGTTCATCTAGTATGAAGATTTAAATAATAATTATTTAACAACAAAAACTGTCCAATGTTTATGTGATCTCCAATGATTAAACACACAATTTGTAAGCAGAATGGTGTTGCTTTTCTTTTACCAACGCATTTAAAATCGTTCTAATTTCTGGAGATTTTTTTTTGGTAAAGAAATTTTATCAATTTTTTCAGCGTTTTTTTTAATGTATTATGTTTTTCTTACAATATCGTATTTCAATAAATAAATCTTATTGACAAGATGCAGAAAGACGTCTGACATTATAAAATATGGTTTAAAGATAAGAGCCGTCTTTTATGTACGTGATACAAAGCAGAGAGATTTTAATTTTCAGTTATAATAAATGTAGACAGGCTCATTTTATATAATTTTGAAATAAGATATTTTTCGTTTTCCTGATAAATTCTGATAAGCACGAAGACAGTTGGCTTACCGGTAAATAGATACATTTTATATTTATAGACTGCTTATTCCTCAGTCGTACTTTTCAATTACAATTTTACTTGAATCACGAAGAAGATATTTTCAAAAGTATGCCTATAGTTTTCAACATTTTTTCTGTTTATCTATTATTAAAAATATTTATAATTATTAATTATCATTAAAACTCGATTAATGTATTGGTAACATTTCTTCAATTGATCGTAAGTTGTGATCATATAAAAAAGTTATTATGAATTTAACATAAATATATTATTATAATAACTGTTAGACCTCTCGCATATCACATACAGTCTAAATGTCATTAAAGCAGTAAGTCTGGCTAACAACGGGTTTGTTAGAATGATGTGATGCACGAACAGTCCATTGTGTAGTTATTAATACAGTTTATATCAATATAGAAATATCACATATAAATAATAGTGTTAAGATTATTCATTTTAAATTAAATCGTGTTCATACACTTAAACAACCTTTTCTCCTTCGTTCGATTTATATAGCTGAAATGTTTTTTTTTATATATATTTAACAGCAAATATATTATTATAATTAAAGTTCAGTACTTTTATTTATATAACATTTTTTTCTTTCTTGGATATTCTATGAACATTAGACATTTATTGAAGGACACAATCAACATTTGCTCAGTATTTTCTGTCGTAAATCTATGAAATCAATGAAAAAATTAAGATAAAATTAAACATATTTTTATATAAACCCAAAAATTGTATATCTGAGTTAATTTAAAGAAATGTTTTTGTGTTTAAAAATGTATTTCAGAAAAAAATAGATGCTATAAATGCAGTTCTGTTTTATATAATAAATGTTGTTTTTGTATGGCATACTTAACAAATGACACAACATGTAACAAACAAATTAGAAAAAGATAAATGTACTTACAAAAGAGAAAAAAGGGACAAAAAATTAAACAGCATAAAGTAAGAAACATTTGTAATTCAGTGTTTCGAGGACTGATAATCAAAAACAAAAGATGCAAACTTACCTTGATCCAATGATAGCAGAATAAACACCAAATACATTATAAAATCCATGATTGTAGTTCGTTGTTTGGTATCACATTCATAATACTTTATTTCTTTTTTTTGTAATCGATCAAATTAATATATTAAAAGAAATATTCCATAGTTTCTCTCTCATTCATTTTGTTTATTCTTAATTATTTCCCCCATACACGCTTGTTCAGAGAACTTTCTTTCCTGTTTTCATTTTCGAACTACTTCTTTATTCTAAGTTCCCTCTTTAATTGTATCAAATATTAATACCAGTTTCACATAATTCCATCATTTATTTGTTAAAGATCGCCTTGCGTAGATTTTTTTTTATATTTTGAACAAATTTTACATAATAATTTACTTATTTCCAAAAGCACAAGTGTTATCACTTCAAACCACTTTGTCTGTGACGTCGTTTTTGTTTTTTTATCCAAAGTTGTATTTTACTCTACAGGCTCTAGTGAATGACTAACTGAACTATTCCAATCGGCTATCACACGCCTCTCTTCTCTGGCATCCACCTGAAAGTATCGAAAGCTACATTAACTACAGATCACTGAATATAGATAATACTTCAGCGACTGTAAACTTGTTCAAACGGCTCACTACATGCGATGGATTTTCATTCACAGTGCCGTTTTAGTATCGGACATCAAAGATTAAGAAATAAATATTTGATAAGTAATCAGTACAATGAACAGGAACGGCCGGAAACAAAAAGGCGTACAATTCATCAAAATATGCGCAAGTTATTTCTTGTTGTTGAATCAACGACATTTGGGAGATGCGGGGACGCTGCGACGGATAAAATACTTAATTCAATTCACGATAAAATTTATTGCCGTTCAGTTTTCCAATAAAAATGTTACACCTCTAAACCGCCAGGACGTTCCAGCGCATTCCATTTCTTTGTAATACTCTCAACACATTAAAAAATGCAGAAATTAAATGATTTTTTTAAATATCTGAATATCATATTAAAACATTTAGTATTATAATACTTTAGGATTAGCATATATTTTCATAATATATTCGAGAAACGTCTATTATAATGTCTGTAAAAAATGTTCTATCGAAAACATCAGCGCGAAAAAAAAAAACGAATTCGTATTCGGGTTGAAAAATACAGAAAACATTTTCACATTCCAATTGATTTTTCATTAATGTTTTTCATCACTGATAAAAACTAAATGTACAGATGTAAAAGATGTAAACGGGAGAAGAATAATTGTATTTTATCTGGCAAAAGTGTGGCAAACACCGTCCTTAAGCGACCGTAACATTTTATCGGCAAATGATTTTGCAGTGTTCTGTCAATACAGTTTTCCCAAAACGAACGTTAAATGGACGGACATAAAATATTCATGCTAACGTTCATGGTTGTTTTTTTTTTTTTTGCAATATTTCTCTCCGCCATAACTGTTTCCTATTTTAATATCAAATAAATATGCTGATATATGGATATCTATCAGACAACGACCCAGCCATCCGAGAGAAAAAATACTGACTTTTGCAATTTTTCAAATGGGTAACTGACATTTATCAGGGCCTACATAGCACGTAATGCTTGTGTTATTTTAGCGAAAGCTTTTATGATTATACAATTTTGACAAGATATAAAGGAGTTGGACAATTACTCTGTCAAGCAGTAAATATTTCAGACCTCCTTAAACAATGAATTGATCACATTTCGTTTTGCAAATGTCTAGAAGATAAATTTCCTAAAATAATGTTTAATGTCGTTATTATCTTCAAAGCTCTATTGCCATTTAATTTATTTTAAAGTTTTAACAAATTTATAAACAAGAATGTCATATTTCCTTTTGATAACTGGAGCTGCAAACAACTCTCATATTAATTTATACAGATATTTTCATGTTAACGTAGAATATAAGTATGCTTAGCTAAAACGCTTGATTTTTATCTGCACGATATTAATTCAATTTAAGTCCACGGATATAACACATTAAATAATTGTACGGTTATTGTCATTTTGAAAATGATCTGTAACTAATACTTGTATTTTTTGAAGGTTAAATGAATAAATCTGGTTTGAAGAAAAAGTTTAAAAAAATCAATTTCCGGGCTTAACTAATGACAAAAATATTCTAAAACAGGTATTGACTTCTTCCTATTTAATTTATGGCGGTTTAAACTATAAGGATCTTACACCGACTGCAGAAACAGACTGGAGTATCTTGCTCGAGGGGAACTGTTTCCGGCCGTGACGAGGCTCTGTCGAGCTTCCGCTAAACAGTTGCCTGAGAGCTAGATATTCCAGTCTGTTACCACAGCTGGTGTTTGATTCTTTTTTTTTTGCATATTATATATTTATTATATTTCGGATAGAAATTACGAAAATAATATTTTTATTTAGCACTTTGTCTTATAGTATGGTAGGAAAACCCAAGTTTATTCCACGTAAATTAATAAACACTTGTTAAAAGTGCTAAAAGTATTGCAAATTATTATGAGAATTCTTACTTGCTCGTATTGACTTTTTGATAAGGGCATGCACTCATCAGAACCATGTCATATTCCGTAATTTGTTCATGAATAAAGCACTGTAATAATGACACATATTGAAAAAACAAGAAATGAAATACACTCTCGGGAGTTCGATCAATGTAATTATTGGACTCCCAAAGGCAAGCCAGGTGATTATATTCTTAATAGACTTGATATTGTGAGGTCCTAATACGTTATTATTGTTATTAAACAAGATTGCTTCCGTTGTATCGACACAACACCAACAAAAATGCCACAGAATTCAATGGATTATTCCTGTTCTCAAAAGTCTCATAAAAGCAAACTAGCGAATACATGCATTTAACTGAAAACTTTAAACTCTGACTTGTTTTATCTTCCGTTTTTTTAGATGACATATTGCAGTGCCCTTTTTTGTTTCAATTTATGTTTCCCCCCCCCCCCCTCTTCATTTACTATCTCGGAAGAGCACTAAAGTATGATGTGTAAAAGCACTTACAAATATCAATTCAATAATGGCCTATGCAAATGATTAATGTCTTTTGAACCCGTATGCATATCACCGTAATTAAATTGATGATTTAATTTTTGTGAATCGGAATGCTTTTGCATGAAACATTGACACGGGGTATACATTTGGATCTAACAAAAGAAAACGATAAACAAGGGAAATCAAGTACGATATCATTTCCTTGTACGTTATGTTTTTCAACCAAACAGTTTCGAAATATTATATAAAAAGCAAATCGAAGCAAGATTTGATACTGTTTAAAGTTTGCTGCATTATTCAAAATGGTTTCCGATGCATAGTAATGTAGTAATTTTTTTCGAATTCTAGGGAATTTTTCTCGTAAGCGGAATTTGATTAAATAAATTTGATCTTATCGTTCGGATACCATAAACCGAAACGTAAATGGTCTCACGTCATTTTTTTCAATTGCTTAATGCAAAACGCGTGTAGCTTCAGGTCGTCAATTCCAGCTCAACGCTTTTGATGTTTTAGATAAAGAAAATAAAAGGGTCGAGATCATATCTAACATCATGAGAGCAATAACTGTGTAAAGAATTGTTTCGCTCAGTGAACTAACATAACAATTTACGAAGTCTGTACTCTGTACCCACCTTTTTCTACAGTGACACAAGCCAGAAGCAAAGCATGCTCCAACAGTTCACTTAAACTGTCAAGCACCGTTTCATGTTATTTGCTTCTTGATCGTTTAAAGGTATTCCGGGACAATAAAAATCAGCCAATCCTTGACAGACTGAACTTGCAAGTGACAACAGACCAAGAATAGGTAACTTTTATTGACCAACAGCTGGGCAATGATTCAAATGCTATCTGACGGAGAATTGTCCTTGTCTTATTTAGATGACCTTGTGGGAAGAGAACAACGAGTGTACGTTTTATTTATTCGCTAGAAGCTATGGTTATTTAACAAGTACAGTTGCAATTTTCATAAAACACATAAAAGTTATAAAAAACCAGGACGTATCATGGTGCAGTGTAAAGTGTCACCCACCTCTAAACTTATAATGATGACTGGTATTAAAGTCGGCTGGTCTACAATGTGTATATTTTTCCATAAGTCTTTCAAAATATTGCAGACAGAAAGGAAAGAAAATGTATCATTTTGGTTTCTTATAAACTATCTATAATTGAACAAAAATTGTGACCCTGTTCTAAGTTGTTAAATATGAACATCTGTATGATAAAAGTAATAGTTTGTTCGAGAAGAATTAATAAAAGATAGTGTATGTTGTGATCAAAGTGGTAAACCACACTAAGTGAAATTATATATATGTACATAATTATGCAAATAAAACAATTTTCAAACGTCGAAGAATATGCAAAATATGTACTGCAAATATTTGTGCATATTATATGTAATCATTAAAATATAAGCATTCATTTCTTATTGTAAAATTTGACTTAAACGTTATAGAAAATAAATTTTATTATTACCTCCCTTTATTCACATGAAATGTTAAATTTGGTAATATTATTATAAATAATGCTTATAAATAATGCTAATATTATCAACATAATGTTTATGGTAACACAGGCCTTCCATTATGAACCAATGCAGGTACTAAATGTTAACGTATAGTATTTCACAACTTTTTGTTTGAATTATCATAATTTTGTAACCAACCACCCTTTTACAATTTCCGTAAACAGACCAAAACAAAAAAATAAATTAATTAAAGAAGAGCAAATGGAAACAATAAATAAATAAATCAAACCCATTAAACCACAAGCAAACAACACACAAAATTGTATGCCACTATTATGACTTTGTCTATATGCCTGAAATTTGGAATTTTTACCCACTATCTATTCATATTCCTGATTATTAATTATACTGTTATAAATCAATGGATCCGTCACGTAGAGGAAATTTTCAATTTTAATAACACTGATACATTACGTTTCAAGAATCCATTCATGTCAAGATTATAGGACGAACAGTGCTGGTTTACAGTTTTTTAGTCGGAAATGTTATTGACACTCCATGCTTCCACACAATTCTTAATTATAATCATTATTTTCCAGAAAACATTTTTGAAAATGGATTTTTCTAGGTACTTTCGGGAGCTGTTATGTTTCAAAGAAATAATTATCTGTTCTAGAACAAAAATGATAATGCAAAAAAGTAAAATTAAACTATATCAAGTTCAAAGCATTTTGTTTCAATTCTCACTCCGTAGTTGAAATGTGATATGAAAAGGCGTCAAACTTTTAAGAAATGTGATTCTTCCAAAATAAGTTCATGTTTTTGTTTTTTTTTAAATAACGCCAAAAAACAACCAAATTTTAAATGTTTTAAATGTAGTCTTTGTTTCATGGACGATACTGGAATATGCAAGTTACCGTTCACAACCCCTAAATCCGGCTATTATGTGACTCGGTGCACTTGGGGATCATATATCTCTTATTTCATCTAAAAGATCTGTAATTAATAAACGTTTTAGCTTGAATTACAATTTATTATTTTACTATGATCATCAAGAAGGTTTAAATATTTATGCGAGT